AGGTGTGTAATATCTCCAAGTCTTGCTCCACAAGTTATCTCCAGTATTTGCAAAGCAGCTCAAATCCTAACCATATCTAACCAGGAAGCGTCATTTTATCCTTGGTCTTCTTGCTCGGTGTGTGCAGCGTACAGCTAAAAACTCAAGAACCAAAGAAACCGAACCGAAGAAACCGAAGAAGTTTTATAGATAAGTGACCTTGTTTTTATGTTCAATGGTTTTGAAGGAACTATGTCATATGATTTTAACTTTGATACAAGCAAAAAGAGAGAGAGAAAAAAATAGTAATATGTGGTGTGGTCAATGCCACGTGGATTGTCAAATAGGCATGCACAAAGTGTTTTCCCACAAAACCAATGGCTCTTTTGCATGTTGTGTCTGTATTCTTTAACTGAACTACAAGGACAAATCTCAAGATCCAATCAGTTTTCTTCTTCTACCTTTTATACCACAAAAATTTAGACAAGACTATACAGAGAAAAATATTCACCTAAGAAGGAACAAAGGAGAGAAAAAAAATGGCAGAAGAGAGATCAAGATTAGTTATGAACAACTTCGTTTCTCATCACATTCTCTGTCTCTTTCTTGTCTCACAAGTCTCAATTGTCTCCAGCAGTGTTGGAGTGAACTGGGGAACAATGGCGAGCCACCAGCTTCCACCTCAAAACGTGGTGAAGATGCTAAAAGACAACGGCTTCACCAAGCTGAAACTCTTCGAAGCCGACCAAAACATCCTAGACGCTCTAGTCGGTTCAGAGATCGAAGTCATGATCGGAATACCAAACCGGCTGCTCAAAGAAGTCGCTCGAGATCCAGACGTAGCAGCTTCGTGGGTCGAAGAGAACGTCACCGCTTACTCCTACCACGGTGGAGTCAACATCAAGTACATAGCCGTAGGCAACGAGCCTTTCCTTCAGACGTATAACGGAACCTACGTTGAGTCCACTTTACCAGCTCTCGTCAACATACAGCGAGCGTTAGAGGAAGCTGGTCTCAAAACTGTGAAAGTCACGGTTCCTTTCAACGCAGACATTTACTTCTCGCCGGAATCGAACCCTGTTCCATCAGCTGGAGACTTCAGGCCTGAGCTTAGAGACGCAACGATCGAGATAATCAATTTCTTGTATTCTCATGACTCTCCTTTCACAGTCAACATCTACCCTTTTCTTAGTCTTTACGGAAACGCTTACTTCCCTTTAGATTTCGCCTTCTTCGATGGAACGAACAAGACTCTGAGAGATGGGAATTTGGTTTACAGCAACGTGTTCGATGCGAATCTCGACACTCTAGTTTGCGCAATGGAAAGATACAGCTTCTTGGGGATGAAGATCATCGTTGGAGAAGTCGGATGGCCTACGGATGGAGACAAGAACGCTAATTCAAAGAGTGCAAAGAGATTCAACCAAGGAATTGTCAAGCATGCCATGTCTGGCAACGGAACGCCTGCGAGGAAAGGAGTGGTTATCGATGTTTACCTTTTCAGTCTCGTCGATGAAGACGCCAAGAGTATTGCTCCGGGGACGTTCGAGAGGCACTGGGGCATCTTTGAGTTTGATGGTAGACCGAAATACGAGCTAGATTTGTCCGGGAAAGGTAAGGACATTGCTCTGGCTCCAGTGGAGAATGTGAAGTATCTGCCTAAATCTTGGTGTGTTCTTGATCCCAACGCGTTTAGCCTCGATGACTTGGCTGATAATGTTGACTACGCTTGTAGCTTGTCTGATTGCACAGCGCTTGGGTTTGGTTCCTCCTGCAACCATCTTAGCGGCAATGGTAATGCTTCGTATGCGTTTAACATGTATTATCAGATGCATGATCAGAAAACCTGGGACTGTGACTTCTTGGGGTTGGGTTTGGTCACAGAGGAAGATCCTTCTGATGAGCTTTGTGAGTTCCCTGTGATGATTGATACAGGAGACTCACCAAAGTTGCAGCCTCAATCTTCAAGAATGTTCTTAGCCACGGTTTTGGTTCTTTTTGTCCTTCCTCTCCTGTAGTAAGTGTCATTGTAAAAATTTCAGAAGTTTCACTTCTTCCCTGCAAAAGCATCTTTCAAGCTAAAAGATTTGCCATAGAGAATAGTAATACACCTATCTTCATTGATTAGACGAAATCGAAATAGAAAACTACACATCGTTCCAAAGTTATAACTTAATATAAACGCCTAGAGAGTCTGAGAATGGGATAAGCAGAGAGAGAGAAGGATATTACAATCAGAGTACGTTGGTGAACATATCAGACTCCTTTGGACGATGAAGTATCTTCTCAAACATGTCTTTGAGCTTCTCATGCCGAACCATCTCGTCGAGGATTCTATCTTCAGAAACAACTTCCTTGCTAATCAGCTTATCCTTCTCGTCGGTGGAAGTGAAGACCATTTCGGATATGCGATGTTTCTTGGTTTGCTTACAGTACTTGTCCCACTCGGTCGTGCCTTTCACCATGAGATGGTAAGTGTAGACAACCCGCTTTTGACCAATCCTGTAAGCTCGGCTTATGGCTTGCCTCTCAACGGAAGGGTTCCAAACGACGTCGAGAAGCACAACTCTCGAAGCGCCGACGAGATTAATACCCTCGGAGCAAGATTTCGTCGATGCAAGTAGCACTTTAGATGCACTGTCTGGTTTGTTGAAGTTGTTGATGATGTGCTGTCTCTCTTTCTGTTCGAGTTGGCCATGCATGAAGAGAATCTCTTCCCCTTCAGTCCAGCGAAGTACAGCACTGAGCTGGTGACTGATCAGCTTCAGAGTGTCGATGTATTGGCTAAACACCAACACTTTCTCTTTCAAAGTCTCGCTTAAGCAGATGAAGTCGATCAAGAACCTCGTTTTCGCACCTTCCTTGGAGTCGAGTTTGATCTTCTCCAGGGTTGCCAGTACCCTCTGGCCAATGCACATGTCCTCCTTCTTCGTCGGAGTGCAGCACAAGTACAGAGATGGGTGTACGGAAGCAGCTGAGAGCTTGTGCTCAAGCTCAAACGTGTTTTGAGCAAGGTCGATTCTGCTGAGGATTTTCCCTTGTATAAAAGGCGGGTTCAACACCACAACGCAGTCTCTTAGACCTGGAAGGCTTTCTCGAAGGATGTTTCCTTTGTGGACATGCACAAAAGGAGCAATCATATCTTTAAGCTCCACAATTCCAACTTCTTCATCAAACCTCCCGTTTCTCCCTTCTTGGCTCAGCTTGCTAAGATCCTGGAGCCTCGAAGAAATCTTGTCTTTGTAAGCAGGTCTCGCCAGGCATAAGACGTTGGAAAGCTCCTTGAAATTGTTCTGGAACGGTGTCCCTGAAAGAATGATACGCTTCTCCGTTTTGACTTCGCAAAGCACTTGCCAGATCTGACTGTTCTTGTTCCTCGGTGTGTGGCCTTCGTCAAGGACCATCAGCCCCGGCAATTCCAGCAACATCTTTCCGAACTCCGGCTTTTCACTGGCGTTCTTATTACTAGCGAGCTTCTCGTACAGATTGTAGCTAACTCCAAGAATGCTTTTCTTGTTCCTCCAAGAGTACAGCTTAACCATGCGGACGGAATTCTTGTTATGGTTCTTGTTTCCCTTTAGATGTGCCACAGCTGATTGGATCTCCTGCCCTGAGAACTCCTGACTGCCCAAGTTGTAAAACGGAATGTTTGCGTTCCATTTCTTGAACTCTTCTTCCCATGTAAGCAGTAGACTTGCCGGAGCTATGACCACAGGATGGCTATCTGGAAACCGTTCCAAGTATGACTGGAGAAAGACGATGGTCAAGCGCGTCTTACCAGTTCCAGGCGAATGCGACATAATGCATCCGCCACTTTCCTTTATCGCTGAGCTCTCCAGCTCGTCGAGCTTCGTTGTCCCTGCTAAGTTCTTCCAGATAAATTCAAAGCCTTCTTGTTGGTGTGGGTACAAAGTATCTTTGACGCCGGGGATGTATTCCCAGACAGTTCCTTGTGTGTTATCATCCAAAGAGGCAACATGACTGCTTTGATCTGAAGCTTCAAACTCCAGCCCGTTAAGTAAAGGCTCACCCTTTCTGTCATTCCGTGTCTTCTTCTCATAAACATTAGAACGATTCTTGTCCTGCAACGATGCAGAAAAATGAACATGTTAAGAAATCCAAAATATGAAAAAAAGGAAATCAACAAAGTAGTAAAGTGGCAGCATTTTACCATGGCTGGTGAGATGTCTCTGATCTCGACAGACACATAAGAACAGTGGCGGCATTTCAGCCCGATTTCCTCATCAAGGCCGAAGTCATGCATCCCATTGATACATGACACAGCTCCCTTCTGATACATCAAAGAGCATGTGATTAAATTTCATACCTTGAAAATGCTAAGAGACAGAAACAGAGGAATTAGTAGTCTTACTTTAGCAGGAGTAGATGAGTGTACTCCTTCCAATGTCAGAGCTAAAGCCATGTCTGCCCACAAATTGGCTATTTCTTCCTCCTCTTCTGTTTTCTCAATTGGCATAGGATCCTCACAGTCACAGCCAAATCTCAGGTTTAAAGGAGGCGTTTCCCATAGTGTCTCGCCACCATCAAAACTCAAATCTACTTTCTTGTGGTTCTTCGCTTTCTCCCTATGAGATCTCTTCCGCTTCCGCTGTTCATATACCTTCTCACCTACGCTCTCTCTAGCCATATGATCTTCTCTAGCTATAGGGTCTTCTCTAGAAACAACCTCTGCTGTTTCATCCCCGGAGCAGATGCTGTCTTCTTCCTCCTCGAAAATTTTCGTTCTCTCCCAAATAGATTTTGCAAGCAGATTAACTAAATCCAAGTTATTCTCAATAGGAGAACTCCTCTTCCGCTTCCGCTTCTCCCCGGTATATACTTTTTCACTATGGATCTTCTTGCCTTTAGCAGTATCTCTGGCACTACCAGCCTCATCCTCCTCAGAAGAATCATCGAAGTCACTATCAGAACTCTCTGCATAAGAAGAATCTGAACTTTCCTTTACGTAATCGGATGAATCAGAATCAGCATCTTCATCGCTTGAATCAGTCCCTAGTTCCTCAGCAGAACCTTCTTCGCAAGAACTCGACTCCGAAATCTCCAGAGGTGATGTCTTCTCCTCAGCAATCAAATCAGTATCATCGACATGTTCTTCCTCTGGAGGAATAAATCCCATAAAAACAACATCTTCATCATCACCATCATCATCAGCAGGAGCTGAAGGGGGCAGAGAAGTAGAAGTTTCCTTCTCACCACTCGAATTCGCATCATTAACAGAAACATCTATAACCATATCGACATTGTGATCCTCTACATGTTCTTTCTCTCTAAAGGTACTTCCCAGACAAACGAGATCTTCATCTGGAGAAGAAGGGGTTAAAATAGAAGCTTCCTTCTCAACCTTCGAATCCGCATTATCTACTGCAAAATCACAATCCCTATCGGGATCAGGCGATCTCGACTCTAAACTAGGAGCAATCACTGAAGCAGAAACTACATGTTCTACATGTTCGTTATCTCGCTTACCTTCTGGATTGATAGTTCCGAGACACTGGAGTTCGTCATCCTCATCCTCTCGCTTACCCTCTGGATTGATAATTTCGATCAATACGACATCGTTCTCATCCTCTCGCTTGTCTTCTGGGTTTTGGATAATTCTGATGAACTCGACACCGTCGTCATCCTCGCTCGCCGTATTCCGGCGCCGTTTCGACTTCGCCGGCGGCGGTGATGATGAAGAACAAGCATTGCGGATAGAAGCTCTCCTCTTCTGCCTCTCTTCCCTCGAATTTACCGAGGAACCGGACTGATTTCCCACTGAATTCCTTTTCCTTTTATTTATCTCATCGCGCATGTAAGATTCCGTCTTCGATCGGGTCCTTCCAGAAACACCAGTCGTCATATCCATGGCTGGAAAACTAAAGGAAAGAGCAGAATCAGAATTTTCGCTCAAGAGAGTTGAAAACCCTAGCAGAGAGAATTTGCCATGGAGGGATCTTCTTCTGTGCACTTTATTTTTTTGCCTTTGGCGGTAACGATTCAACTTTCTCGAAAAACATTAATAAAAAAAAAGGGTTTCCGTTTCCTATTTGAGGGTGGGTCTGGATTATATTGTAATAATCAAAAGAATGAGGGGCAAAAGTAAAAACCTTTTGGGGAACTTTTAATAATTTTACAGTTTTACGATAAGTCTCTTTTACTCGCATTGGTGGGGAATGATTCATACGAGAGTTTCGAAGTTAAAAGGACCAACTGGTCGTCACTTGTCAGGCTGTCAAGGCAGTCAGCAGATCTTATTCAATAAAGTCCAAATACTATTGTATAAAGTGTACTTTAATCAATTTCTTACCTAAAAAGCAAAAAGTAATGGAATGGAAATTTATTTTGCCCTGTGTATGTTTGTAAAAGCTAAAATCTAAAAATAAATCACCATTCAATTTTCTTTCAAAATTTTAAATATCTAACAAAATCAATACCTCAAATCTGAAAATCAAAACCCAAAAGCATTTATGGTCATGTGACATGTCCCAGTTACAGTGGAGCAATGGCATGAAATTGCCATAGGATCAGACATTTATGGATTACCGACGGTTTAGAGTGTACCGATCCGAATAACCGGATCAGACCAAGTGAATGCAAAACAGAGGGCCAAAATTTAATATTTAGAAACTACAATGGACAAAATGAGAAAATAAGGCCGACGCGTTGATCGGTTTTAGCTCTTTTCCTCTGAATTTGGTTCCTTCACGATGATTCACCGGAATCCGTAGATCATTTCCCCTCTACAAGCACGGTGTCTGATTGTGTTCTCAAATCAGCGAAATTCCATATCTACTTTCGTTGAATCTCTAGGTTTTCGCATCTGAGAGAGAGAGATTCAGATCCGAAGTTTCTCGGAACGAAATCGAGGGAGGAAAAATGCCGGTAAATCACGGGCAATCGTCGTATCGAGATCGGACGAACGAATTCTTCGGTATCGCTGAGACGCTGAGGAAATCGATTGCTCCGGCGGCGAGTAATGTGAGTGGTAGGAGCGATGGCGCTAGAAGAGACGATCCGAGATCCGACTTGAATATCCAATCGGAGTTCAAAAGGAGAGCTTCTAAGATCGGTAGTGCCATCTACCAGACGTCGCAGAAGCTATCGAAGCTGGCTAAACGTAAGTTCATTGTTCAGTGAATCTCGTGAATCTGGATTAGCTTATCTAGTTGCTTCGTTTTACCTGTAATGGCTTGCTTAGGAATTAGAACAATCTTTTGAAACGAAAATCTGATCTTAATTCGTTGCTGAAGATGTCACAATTGCTGGAATTTTCATAGATTATCATAGCAAAAGTTAAAATTAAGCAGCATAGTCACTGCCATGCCTACACAGAGGCCTAATTGTTGTGTACATACTACTCTAAGATCTGTATTTTCTCGATTAAGATTCACTGTTTCCCTCTCCACCAGGAAATGTAGCTTTTTTTCGTTTTCTTAGAAATTGTTTGTTTTGTGGTGTGAATTCTTCAAGTGCTTATCTTTGGAACCTTTTAGAATCCTTAATGCTTCAGAATTTTGTTTTGCTATAGTAGAAATGGAAGAAGGCTGTTGTTTTTCATATATTTGTCATTTTTTTGTTACAAATCAGTGGCAAAGAGGACATCGGTTTTTGACGATCCCACTCAGGAGATACAAGAGCTGACGGCGGTGATCAAGCAAGAGATCTCTGCTCTAAATACCGCTCTGCTCGACCTTCAGGCTGTACGCAGCTCCCAGAACGATGAAGGGAACGTCTCTAAAGACACGACTATTCACTCAGCAACAGTCGTCGACAGTCTAAAGACTCGCCTCATGGACACTACTAAAGAGTTTAAGGATGTTCTTACCATGAGAACCGAGGTTCGTTCCTCTTTGATAAAGCATGAGTATTCAGACGTTAGCTTTTACCTTATTCTCAGTATTAAGATGCTAGACTGAGTTATTATTTGATTTACTGGTGTTGCAGAACATGAAGGTCCATGAAAACCGAAGGCAACTTTTCTCTTCAAACGCTTCGAAAGAATCCACAAACCCGTTCGTTCGCCAACGCCCTTTGGCTTCTAGGCCTGCTGCTAGTCAACCTGCTCCTCTTCCATGGGCAAATGGGGCTTCTTCATCTTCATCAATGTTAGTCCCAACCACATTTGCAAAAATGCAGCCTACTTCATTTTCTCTTTGAAGCCTGGTTAAGAACTTAGTCTAATTGTACTTCATTTCTTCTTTTACAGGAAACAAGGAGAGGGCGAATCTTCACCATTGTTGCAGCAGAGTCAACAGCAACAACAACAGCAGCAGCAGCAACAGATGGTCCCATTGCAAGACACGTATATGCAGAGCCGTGCAGAAGCTCTGCACAACGTCGAATCAACAATCCATGAGCTAGGCAGTATCTTCACACAACTAGCAACTATGGTTTCACAGCAAGGAGAGATTGCTATCAGGTTCGTCAACATATAATGGTCTTAAGATTCATCAAACATTTGTGGAATCCAGGTGATATATAATATGTTGTGAAATTGCAACAGGATCGATCAGAACATGGAAGATACATTAGCGAATGTGGAAGGCGCACAGAGCCAATTGGCCAGGTATCTCAACAGTATATCGTCAAACCGATGGCTGATGATTAAGATTTTCTTCGTACTGATTGCATTTCTCATGGTTTTCCTCTTCTTCGTGGCGTAATATTGAGATTGAAAAATTGAATTTGAAAGAATCTTAGACATCCTTCTTTTTTTGCTGTCGTATCTTATTGACATGTAAAGACTAAAAGAGAGAAAAAAAACGGATCTTTATGCTGTGTTCAGATCAATGGAGGAGATATATATAATGCCACTTTTTATGTAAAATTGATTTACGTTTCGGAAACATTTTTGTGATTTTTGCTCATCTTTTACTAATACCACTACTATATACAATTCACAAATCACAATGATGTTTTCTGTTCAACTATATATACATCTCTTGTTAAGTTTTGATAGTTGAATATATTTTATCATTCTCCACGATTTTGCAGGAGTTTTGGTCCTAGTATCAATGAAAGAGACGGATGTAAATAGTAATATATCATATAAATTAACAATAGCTTTGCACTAAGAGGTTTCGAAACACGAACTTGGAACTCGAATAACTTGCTCACTATTTTCAACGGACAGTAACACCGCTTGAAACTCCAAGAACGCTAAAACGTGAGGCAAAAGCAACAACGGGAAGGATAAAAATAAAACTAAGTCCTACACCTAATAAAGGAAACAAGGAATGGCTCTATACACCTAATAAAGGAAACAAGGAATGGCTAGAGCCACTGGTTGCACCACGTGAGATCTTCAGCTTAGGAATCAGAGTCGAAATCAGAATCAAGACTCTTTGCGATTTCGGAAGTCTTTGGAAAAGTCACTTTCAATGTCGTTGTCCGGTGGGGTTGGTGACTGCTTCTCACTTCTCGTTGAGAAGCTTCTCTATCTCTCTGACTCTGAGCCGCTTCTCTACCTTTCCCAAGTCCAGTAGCGCTAATGAACCTCACTTCCAAATAATGTTACGCATCCAAGATATTTTGATTTTTGATTTCAGAGAACGTTGATTGTTCATTTGTTTCACGAAATTAGATTTCAGTATCTCTCATCGTTTCATATATTATCTCTAAAACTCTAAATGCCAACTCTGATATTGAATAAAGTACTCCGATATTGAATTTAGTTGCTTGTGTCTCTTATCTCTGACCAACTACTATATGACATTTTCAAATAACTTTATTACTTAAGTTATTTTGTTCTTTCTATCTTGAATTCCTCAATTTTAGTTATTAATTATATATTTTAATAAATTTGTCTCTATATGTTGATATGGTTGTTTTAACACATATATAAGACAATGCTTTTGGTTGTATTTGAATATATATTTTTGATATGGTTGTCTATATACCAAAATGGCACTGTATTAAATTGTCAACATATTCATAACATATATTTTTATATGACTGTTTTATATATCGATATAGCAATGTTTTTAATTGTCAATATATGTATATATTTTGACATATTATTATATGATTGTTTACATACACATATATATATATATATGTTATTTTAAAATTTTTTACATGCATATCTATATGTAGAGAATCATATCAAAATATATCAAAACATATGAATTTCTATACAACTAAAAGTATTGTCATTTAAATATGTAAATAACTATATCAGCATACAGAGACAACCAACAATATCAAATAATACCAAACCAATATATGTAGACAATCAAAAGCATTGCTATTATTTGAGTTGAAAAACTAAAGCGCTATATATTGATTTGGTATTATTTGACTAGCAAGCACATGTTTTCAAAAGTTATCCAACCCGTGAACCACGAACTGGTTCGTGTGACTATTAGATGTATTGGACAATTTCATATTTATAAGCGGTGAAAATTCATTTCCAACACAGCTCAGAATCCTCGTGTACCCCCCTGTGTTGTCATTGGGTACGCCGTACGCCTGATTGGTTCGACTCATCAAACCATGTGATACATTTATACATCAGTGCTGACAATTCATGCGTCTCATTATCACAATTGCTGTTTGCGCCACAGTAGTCATACTGATCGCATACGCTGCTTGGTCCCTTCCATAGCAAGTCCCAAGTCTCTATAGTTTGTTTCCACATTAAACCTTGTACAAATCCCGAGGGGGTTAACAATATTATGGAGATAGTGTGGTTGTTTGTGGTTTGATACACACATACAACTTTTTCACTTGCTCTTGTTATGTGCCATATGCCAAATACCAAAGGAGTGTTGATAAACGAAGTGCTGTTCCATTCCATGCACAACCGATCACCCCAATATATGAAGCTATGTTTCTCGTCGTATCTCCCTTGAAATGGAAAGGGGTGATGACAACCAGTACCAAGTGATCCATCATACACATCACAAGAGATTATTATTTCAGGTTTATATTTTTCTTTGGTTATTTAAAACCATTTTTTTTTCAAAATAAAGGAAATATATTCCAGAACTCATAATTTTTCATACTTAGCTTTTACAAATATAATTTTACAAATTTTTTATTAGCCTACAATAAATTCTTGTTTAGAGTTTTAAACATAATTTTATTGAAATGAATCCCAATAATAAATCTTTTAACACCCAATATTCTTATAATTTCTATTGCATTTTTAGTTTGTTGTAACTTTATTTTTTTTAAATGAATATTCATATTTTTCGGCTTTATAACTTGCAGAAAAAAATATAATAATAAGAACAAAAAATAATAATTATTTTTAAATAACCAAATATTTAACTCGTAGTTATTCTAATTTAATTTCAAAAAATATTAATATGTAATCACAAAACAAAAACATTCAAGTTAATAAGAGTATGAGATAAAAATGGTGGGATAGGGTATTAAATGTTATTCAACAAAACTATTGTAGAATGTAAAAATTAAGAAGGTGTTGAATTATTATGTTGAATAGATATGAGATTATGTGGAATGTCAAAAAGTGAAAAACGTGTTGAAAAACATAACAAATGTAGTATCAAGTGATTTTTCATGTCATTGCAATGTACATATTTAGTGTTCGTTTTCATTCTAGTAAATGAAAAAGTGATTTTCATGTTATTGTTTTTGATTCCCCATGAAAAGATAAAATAAATTACTGTATTTAAAAAAAAAATTTTTTGATGAGAACCAACATGGAAGGCATGTGATTTTTCATGTCATTGTTTTGCTTCCATGCATGTTTAGCATTATTTAGGTTTTCGTGGCTCCATTTCCAATTATCATATTCATTTGATTCCACAATTGATTCGTATAAGTATTCTTTTAGGTTGTTATTTTACACAGCTACAAGTCCAACAATCATCAACACGACAACACATCATCTTTTGGACCAATTTAAGAACACATCAATTTGGTCTGATTTAGTTTTGAGTCCAAAATTTTTGGTTTCAAAACAAACAAACAAAAACAGTTTACATTACAACCGGACTTGCCTTCCATGTCACGTTTCTTTTAGTTTAGTTAGAATAATTAAGTTGGGTCGTATTCATACGTTTAGCTCTACCAATTCAGGACTTAAGAGAGCTTCCACTTCCGTTTCATCTACATCTTCTAAGCTTGCTAGTTTCCATATTTAGGATTCTGTAAGAAAAAAAAATACACACTAATAAATTATCATGAAATGAGCTTAGAGTAGGGCACAACAAAGAACAGTGACCAAAATTTAAGAAGAAAAAAAAAACAAAACAGAGTGAACCGCAAGATTATCATAAATTTGCATAATAATTCGCATACTATTCTAGATCAAACCTGGCTTGAGATATACAACAACAAAAGAGTGACTAATTTAGGGACATGAACAAAACCCTGGTCCTAGTATCAATGAAAGAGACCAATGTAAAATAATCCTAAATCAAAGAACTAAACAAAAAAGCCATTAATAAGAGCTTAAAATATTGCATGGTGCCGACAATAGCTTTGTATGTACCACTATACCATTACCAGTCGTATCCTTAAGACAATCCCACACAGAGCTAACATTGGAACTAGAACAAGTTACTTTGTTTTAGAAAACACACCGATTGAAATATTTAAACAAGGAAAGGAGTAGGACATTATTTAGTTCATCGAAACGTAACACCACTTGAAACATCAATAACTATGAAAAACGACAAGGAAAAGCAATAACGCGAAGGAAAAGAAAAACCAGTCCTACTCCTTACACGGGAAACAAAAGGAATGGCTCTAGCCACTCGAGGACGAGGACGAGGACAACATGACAACATCGGGTTCTTCTTCGGAATCTTCGGAAGGGTCACTTTCAGAGTCGTTGTTATCCGATGGTGTTGTGGGATTCTCGTTGAGCAGCTTCTTTATCTTTCTGAGCCGCTTCTCTACCTTTCCCACATGCAGTAGCGCTATCTTCACACTTCGAGCTATCTGTACCGACTTGTCCCTCTGCCTCGCTGGTACATCGACAGACCTCTCGGGCCTGGTCGTCATACTGTGGGGGTTCTTCTCAGGGCTTTTGGGCTGTGCCGGCGGCGCCCTATCATGAAATAACTTCCTTGCTTGCTCCATAGTTCGCAAAGGCATACTACATAGTAACAAGTAACAACACTATAAGATCTTTATACTGTTGCTTAATCTATGATACATTTCAACACAGCATATTCATCATTCAACACCGTTCATATAGGTTCTTATTTTACGCAGCAACATTTAATTTCCAACAACTATTAACATATATAATATATAATTATTACGAATATGTGCATGTAAGTTGTAAACACGACGCAAACACACCTTAGTCTTTTCGGATGAACGGTAACAACGAAGGAACGAGGAGGTGCGTGTGGTGGTGAAGACGACCTAATGTTGCTTTCTCCTCACGTCTTTTATAGACGTTGGAGCCTGAAGCGTCGTTGATACGAGTAGAAATTAGATTTTTTTTTTTATGTAAATAAAACAAATATGGGGATATATATATATATGGTAGTATTCAGAAATGTCATTGTTGCTGAGAAGAGTTCTTTTTCCATGCATATTTCAGTTTCTCGATTTGTTCAGATTTTAGTCTTTTCGATAGAGAAAATTACACCCAAAGGCACTTTTCTAGTTTCTAATTACAT